TCCATTGCACAGATGTCCTCCTATATTATCCAGCAATACGTTGCTTAAAGACTTGCTGAACTAAAGGTGGTACCTTTGTGTTTGACAACCTGTATTGTTCAGAACTTTTCTTCAGTTTTTTCTTCAGCCCTACTGATTCCTGAATCTCTTTACCCCAGCTATTTAACATAACAAAGTTTTAAAGTTTGCATCTGTCATGTTTGATCCAAAGTTGTTAATATTTCAGATCACATTCCTGGTTTGTCATTCTGCCGTTAACCTCCTAATGGCAGAGCTAATGACTTTAGGAGCACAATGTCCACAGGGGCTCAGCAGGCATGATATTCTAATTTTGATTTCCTAATGTCCCAATTTCAGTCCAGCATGCTCTGGAAATAACATCTGAAATGACGTAAAAGCTGGATAAATCTGTCAATGAAATATGAGTTAGGAAGGCAGTGACTCCATTGAAGGTTATATGTCTGCCTGAAATTAGGATTTTCACCCATGTAGTCTCAGCTGGGAGATTTGGTCTGCACATCTAGGGCTTTCCAGTTTCCCTCCTGCTTTGCTGAGCACCATTTATCATGTGGTCAGGCACTTGTTTCGTGCAAGTTTGGTTGCTCAGTATGTAGAAGCTGTGTAGAGCAATGCAAGGTGCAAAGGCACTCCCATGCCTTATGTATCTGCCATTATTTCAACTCTGGGATCTTAAACTAGATGAGAATATTATTTCAAAACTCTCTAAATGTTTGCATTCTAAAATATTCCCTTCTGATTTAGGACAAAGAATGGACAGTGATCTGCCAGGTTGTTGTGTTTAGGAGGTCATAAATTACTGAAAACTTCCCTTGGAATGTGGAAGTGCTCTCAGCCTTGTAGTATATTTTTCACAGCTTCCATGGTAAAAAGGTCTAAAATAAAAAAAAAATAAAAAAAAAAAATAAAAAAGAAAAAAGGTCTAAAATTAAAAAAAAAAAGCAATTTTATTCTAATAACTCATTTTACAATCCTGTTTGGATAGCACAACAACATGCTTCTAAGCAATTCATTATTCTAGTTGAGCACAGGGAGTTTGAAAAAGCCTGTCCTTCTGTGGTACCTTGCCTCAGAGTCACACAGCCTTGAAATGGAAAAATCCCAGGATTAGCTTGGTCCCTGGATAACTGCACCTTTCTTCCCTGTGGATGGATGTTCATCTTTGCTCTGTCCAGTCTACCTTTAAATGAGCCAAGTTGATGGGGCTTCTGCCATCTCAATAAGCAGGTTATCTCACAAAGATATATCACTTCTTGATGTTCAGCCAAGTTTCTTACCCATCATTTCACAGTCCCATTACTCCTACTTATATTCCCATTTATTATTGTAAATAATTTCTCTTTCAATTATTGTAATGATTATGCCACCGTATTAACCATCATTTAAGCAACGTCTCTGTCTGCCTATCCAAAAAAATGTTAACACATTAGCAAGTGATATTAAAGCTTTGTTTCTAAGGAGCAGGGAGTGCAATTCCTGCTTCTGCCCTGCTACAAACCAATAACCCACAAAGACCCACACAGAGGTACAGATCTGGAGCATTCCTCTTTGGTCAGGAAAGATGGTGGGGCATTGTGTTTGAATGAGGTGTGTGTTGGGTATGATGCATGGAAGAACTGCAGAAAAAGCTTGTGGGCTCAAGCTTCTGTCCCTCAAGAAATAAAACGTATCAGAAAGATCAATCTTCAGATTGTAACCAGCAAAGGGAGCACACAGCAAAAGCTGAGAAAATTCTCCTAGGGACTATGAAGCAATAGGCTGAGAGGATGAATGAAGCCTCAACTCTGGGGCATCAGGAGCTGTGTAGACTCTTAAGTGATCTGTAGATACACGCTCAGGTGAGAATATTATACAGGAAAGAACAGAAATATCCAAAATTAATCAGCAAGAACTGAAGGACATAGCAGCCTTAACCTCTATATGGCTACAAAGATGGCAGCAAATAAAGCTTAATCTATCTATAGGTTCTCTTAGAATGAGACAGCAGACCCTAAGAGCAAATAGCTGTAGACAGAGGTGCTGTGGAGGGATGGTGATCTGTTGTCCCTTTGGCACCCTTTCCCACCCACTTGAGTCCTGGGGGTGCTCACTGAAGCAAGGGAAGGCTGAAGGTGGGGATCCCTGCCAACAGCAAAATGGCAGGAGTGTTTTCCATGCAAACGGGCTTGCACAGAAACACCCTCCTGCCTTTCACAGGGTTTGGTTACCTGTTTTTTTCCTTTCCCATTAGCAATGGTGAGGAGAAGGAAAAATGCACAACAGAGAAAAGCAAACACGAAAATAGAAATTGCCACCTTTTTGATGTCCAAAATTTAAATGAAAAGCAAAGCTCATTAAGATTTAACGCAATTTAAAAATATTTATTCTAATAATTTCTCTAGCAGATTTGTTGAAAAAATGAAAAATGACATGAAAATCAAAAGGCTGGAAGTTCTTTTTTGTTAGTCAAATCTCCCTACTGAAATGGTCACTCCCAAAGCACAGGTTGATTTGTAAGATTTCATGACAACACTTCATTTTGTAGCTTCTGTAGTGATATCTTCAATGATGTTCAATCTGACACACTGAGCTCACATCACAGTTCGCTATTCATTAGACAACAGAAACACCTGACTTCTAATGATAACCCTCCCCTTTGGTACACTTCTTGCTAAATAAATTTATGTAGAAATATTTATCTTGTAATCTTTTCATTCTTTTGACCAAAGGAAGTGACTGAAAATCAAAGCAGAATGAGTCATATTTTACAGAGCAAGCACAATCAATTTGTGTATATTGGAGCATAGATGTGAAATAGCATTAATTATACCAGCTAAAATCCAGAGAGAGCACTTCCTTTTAGAGCAAAGTACCTTCTAAATTAAACAAATGTGAAAGGGTGGTAAAGCAAAAGTATAGCCCTCATTACTAGTTATGGCACATTATAAATATAAAAGCTTTTCATGCCATAAATTGTAGATTCTTTAATATGAAGTGCTAGCTTAAAACTAAATATGCAGAAAATCCTTTTAAGGATAAGGCATAAAAAGGGAAATATTTCTTGACTGGTGAAGTATATATATCATTCATATTATTTTGCATTTAAAGTTTAAAAAAAAAGAAAAAGAATGAAATAAAAAATATTGAGATTTCTCTAACATTGATGTTCATCTATCTATCAATATTAACCCAGGGGGAATGGCAACATTTCCTGTACAATGACAAAAGCTTGCACAGCTTCACACTTATGGTGGGTTACAATGGCATTCATCAGAGTAGCCCATAACTGAATACTGGATATAAGTAGCCATCCCAGAGGTGCTTTGATGGTCTGTGGAAATTTATACATCCTCAAGCATCCAGTGATTACTGAGCAGAAACCAATAGCTTCCTGAGAACAATTTAGTCAGTATCCAATTGTAGGATCATAGAATGGTTTGGGTTGGAAGGGACCTTGAAGATCATCAGGTTCCAACCTGCCTATGAGCAGCAACACCTCACACTGGACCAGGCTGCACAAGCCTCATCCAACCTGGCCTTGAACACCTCCAGGGAGGGGGCATCCACAGCCTCCTTGAGCAACCTATTCCAGTACCTCACTGCCCTCATGGTGAAGAATTTCTTCCTGAAGTCTAACCTAAATCACCCCTCTTTCAGTTTAAAACCATTACCCCTTGTTCTATTACTGCCCTCTCTGGAGAAAAGTCCCTCCCAAACTTTCCTGTAGCCCTTCAGGTACTGGAAGGCCACTATAAGGTCTTCTTGGAGCCTTCTCTTCTCCAGACTGAACAAACCCAACTCTCTCAGCCTGTCTTCACAGCAGAGCTGCTCCAGCCTTTCAATCATCTTTGCGCACAAGTCTATCAGCACTCTGAAACCAGAGAACATCCTCCAGCATCACCCAGTACTTCCTTAGGTCACAACTGGTACAAAATAGTTCTCACTAGCAAGGAAGGAGGGAGTCTACAAGTACATGCCAACAAATAAGATTATTTAGTTGCAAAACTGTGATGGAAAAATCTTTAAGAGCAACAACAGTAACAGAATTAATAAAAAGATGAAGTGTAGCTTGCTGAATAGTAAGTGAATCTTGTTAGTTAATGTAATGCCTAGAGTAGCAATTGTTTACATATATTTGTATTCCCTTCTGTCCCTCTCATTATAAACCAACAGAAATTATTTCTATAACATCTCTTTGTCATAACCAAAAGGCTTAAGAGCATTTTATAATTCCTGGAATAAATGCATAACCATGACAGCCATGACTTCACGTTGGGACAAGAACTTAATGCACTGCTTGAAAAACAGCCCAAACACATGGATGAGGAGGAAGGGAACCACTTACCACCCAGTACATCCGTTGCTACAGCTTACTAGGGCAGCAGGATGGGGAAACAAGCTGTGGAGGGCAATTCAGACACAGGCAGCAGTGGCTGGATCACAGAGAACACACTGAGCTCCCTCATGCAAGAGCTCCAGCAATTCTACTTCATGCTTTTAGCACCGCAAGGCTGCAATTTGATTTCTCAAATATCGTCCAAAGAATCATTACCACAATTACAGTTGTGTAAACATCACAGAAGTTTACCTGAATGCATTCAATTACCCATTCAAGTAATTCAAAGGCAGCTGAAAGCTTCACTTTAGACCCATTGCAGATTTGTTATGTGCTATGCAATCTACGCCATGACTTAATTGAAGGACTCTAAGTGACTTCCAGGGGAGCTGGATTGGGTCCACTGTCAATGCTTATTAAGCAGTAAATACCTCCCATAACTGCAATGCTGTTTACATGCATATGCTAATACAATCTTATTTACCAGATGCTACTGATTAGTCAAGGTACAGCCATGATTATACAATATTTTCCAGCAAGTTCATGGAGCTTAGAAGGAAAGGTGTTTCCTTCAAAACTGTTGAAGGAAACGGAGGAAGGTGATTCTCATAAAATATCCTGTGTCCTCTGCCTCTCCTGTGAAGATGTCTGAATGGAGATAGCAGTGATGCTAAAAGAGATTACCTGTTTTTTGTGTTGTCCTTAGTTCTAACCAATCTTAGTCACAGCATCTGTGCAGTGCACTTAGGATTTATGCACCTGATTAGAAAATAAGATGAGACACAACCATTCAAAATCTTATCACTCTCTGGACAACTTCACTAACTTTTTCAAGAAGAAAGATAGTCAAATGTCTTGTGGGGTTTTTTTCGAGCAGAGAAAAGCAGTTGGAGTTTAAATTCTTACTGTATTTTAAGCTACATAGTTGTCTATGTCTTTTATGCTAAAGAGAAATAAAATGCAGATGTATGTACATGCCAAAAAATCTTGGTTCATTAGACATTTGTCTCTCTGTATAGGAAACATTAACAGACTGAAAAAATACTCATATTTGTGTGCCAGTGCTTAAAATAATCCTGTTATTTAGCTCTGGTATTTTATACATCCCTTTTAACATTTTAATTTTTATTGTAGAAAAGAATAATGCTTATTATTATAAACTTATAGCTTAGTTTCCATTGTACTTAATTATCTAAAATCATGTTTCAAACTAAGTGCAGTGCCTTAAAAGGAAGTTGAATAATCAATTTTATTTAAAGAAGGCAGCTGTTGGCTTCTGAGGAGAAAACTCCAGCTGCATAGATAAAGCGTAAAGCTGCTGCTTACTTTTATACACCACATTAGAATAAAATAGAGTAAGATTGAGACAAGCTTATGAGTGAGAAAAGAAAGGAAGAAAAAACAGAGGAGGATCCTCTGGCAGATCCCTGTTATGGAAAGCCAAGGGGCTGCAGATGGGAAGAGTTTCACCTGGCTTGTGCAGAGGGGAAACACCTGCAAAGTTACTAAAGTTGTTCTGCTTGTGGCCTCACTTATATGGAGCAAGGACTTTTTGTACAGAGAAGAATGAAAGTCCCAAAATGTTCAACACTGCACTGTACTGATTGTCAATCCATTTAGAGGGAAAGTTCTGCTTACAGGGAAGGTGTTAAGAGGGGAGAACCAACTTCAGTTTAAGAGCTTTTCAGCAGAATCCCCATTTTTTCACATGAAGCATTCACCCAGCCACAGCCAGTCTTGTAAAAGTTAGTGATTAGTCACAGAAGAGGTTATTTGAGCACTGATTGTGCTTTGAAGAATATCATGCTGTAAAGCATCCGGTTAGAACCAAAACATATTTATTAAGGCCTGGAGGCAGTGACTTTTTCCCATTTGCTTTTTATCAAATGTTTATCCTTTTTACCCATGCCTGTTGCCATAGCAGCAGCTGGAAGACAGCCACCCACTTTCCACATGAATTCTTAGGCACTTCCAGCTAATAAAGCTACGGACCTTCCCTTGTTTACAGTGCCAAAGAAACGCTTCCCTGCTTGTCGAATTTTCCCTCCCTCCCAGCCAGCCCCCATCACCCCCACTGCCCTAACTAAGGAGCTGTTGCATGAGCACCAACAACCACCCATCACAGGTGGGTGCTCTGGGTCTCTAAACCCTCTGTTTTGCTGTTGTTCAGGCGCTACGATAACTACAAAATCGGCACCTTCCTACTGTGCCAGAGCGCAGCGCGGCCCTTCGAAGTGCACGTTCGGCAATGGGACTGCGGCGGCCACCGCGCCTGCAACTGCGGCCTGGCTGCACGGGAAGGGGGGGACACGGTGCTGCTGGACACCTGCCACGGTCACCTTCAGGAGAGCAGACCCCAGCTGGCCATCAAAAGCACGGAGGCATCGCCACAGGTCAAAATCCTCAAGTCCTACGGAGGAAGAAAAATAACAGTATGTGGCTATTTGAGTGTTGTCCGTTGCCGTTCGTTAAAAACGGGAGCTAAATGTTTCCGAATCATTACTGGAGTTGCTACAGAAATATCTCTCTGAAGCCATAAGAACACCTGCAGCTGAAAAAAAAGATGAAGGTTAATGTGTTGGTTTAACAAACTGTGAAACAAACCACAACAAAAATCTCTGGGAGTTTCTCAGCGATGTAGCAGGGTATCAGCACTGCCACTTACCCTCGGCGGTACCACAATCCACTCCCAGCTTGGTTATGCTGCTCACTGCCCAACTGCATCCCATAAAGCAAATTTCTTTGCAGAGCTTACAATATAAATATTCAAGGTAAGATCACAGGTAGCAGAATAATGCAGTTTTAGAGCGGAACAGTAAGGAAATATTAGTCAGATTGAGACAGCCTCCAAAAATTATGAAAAATGGGCTGCAAACGGGCAACATTTGGTAGAATTTAAAGTATTTGCGTAAAAAATATATGGCCACAGCATACTTGGCATGAGTATCTTTTATCTACACCAATCCAGTGACAGCACTGGAAGAATAAGAGCAGGCTGCATCAGGGGCTTTGGTGAGGACAAGAGCCATGAATTACAGCCAAGAAGTTAATTTTCTCCTGAAGTTGTATCATCTAGATTAATTGCCAGGAAATGTTTTGGGTGAAGACAGATCCACAATAGAACCAGAAAGAAGCAGGGAAGACCTGTGTTTGGCTCTCCTCATTTGGAATGCACCTTGGTAAGGTAACTGGAAGTCTGTTAATTATAGAATAGAGAAAAAGCAGGAAGCAAGCTGTCACTTCACTTTGCAACTGAATGCAATATAATTACTGTTTTATTACTAGAATAATCTTAGCAAGGAATCCCTGTTCTCATTAACACTTTGAGTAAGTCTCAGTGAAGCAAATCAGGACACCCACAGGACAGGAAGATGAACCCTGTCCTGATCTGAATGGGAATCTCTAGGAATCTACAGTGATGGATACAGACCCTGACCAGGGTGCCCTGCTCAGTCCATCCCCTTTTGCTCAGCATCTCCAACCCCATGCAGTGCAGGGGCCAGCTCCGCCACAGCCCCTGTGCCATTGTTTTTGTGCAAGGCAACAGCTTCTACCAGCCAGTCACCATGTATCTCTGCAAACTGAGGTCTCCAAACAAGCTTCTTCCAAGCCTCCATCAGCAGCATTAAAGCCAGGTGGGTTACAGAAAATCTGGGCAGTTGTTGTCCCAGTGACAGATGGGACACCTTGCCCAGGGCGGCAGGAGAAGAAGGGGTTGCAGCCCTGTGACTTCCCCAAATAAATCCACACCTGGAAATAATAATCCAGGCAGCACTAAAGACTGAAGCAGCTCATGCAGTCCTGACTGCAAGGATTTTACACCCAGCCATGTCAGAAATTCTCCTCTCCATAGTAAAGCATGTAAATCAAAGGAACATGTTTGTTGGAAGAAGAAAATCAAGTCCTACCCAACACCATGGCAGCTGCATTTCTCCGGCTCAACCTATAAGCCCCTAAGAAAAAATTAACCCATCAGCCCATTTGAGCTTTACAATGGGGAAATGGGGAATCTTTTCTTTTTTTTTAAGCTTACCTTGGGAAGTGAGACATGCAGCCCAGGTGGAGGTACAGCCAAGATGTACTCAAAGAACTGTTTTTATATTATGACTTCTATTATTTTTTCAAGTGATTTTTAAAGTGTCCTAATGAAAACACAGAGAGCTTGAGTTCAAAACATAATGTATGTCCCCAGCTGTTGTAGCAATCAGTGGCACTTTACTGCTCCACTCAGCTGGATGAGGAGATCCCTCATGGAGTGCTCCTTAAAAAGTATACCTAGGCAGTGGTGACATAAAACAAAGAAAACAGTTATTTTTAAATTATTGTGATGAGATGTTTCCAACTATTTAAGGTACTTTTCAAACTTAATTGCAAACATAATTTTGGATTTAAAAAGAATAATTAAAGTTACTTATCGGGATAGAGTGCTCCTGGTCCCACTCCTGGCACAGAACAGTTTCAAAATACTTTTCTTTTTGCCTGCAAAAATAAAGCAAACAAACAAAAATAGATTTCAGTTGAACAGATTTATTCTTCTTGGTGTTTTTGTGGGTTTTTTTCACTTGGTTAGGACACCAATCTGAAAAATCCATTATCCACACAGTTACTTCTTTGTCTTAACTTCAAGGTTTCTTTTTTCTTTCAAAGGTCAGGGTAAGCCTACCACAAGTTCTTTAATGAGAAAATTGCTTTATCCACTTTAAAACACAATCATTTTCTGGGTAATCCAGCCTTGGAAAATGAAACGATTTTTCAGAGAGAAGAAAGCTGTTTTTCAGACTTGGCAGTTTATCTAAACGAAATTATTTCCCAGGCAAAGACACAAGGGTGGCCTTATTGTCATGAAAGTCACTTCAAAAATTAGTGAGTAACTTAGCAGTGGGAAAACTTCAATGGATGTAATTATTAATTTAGAAATGAAGTACTTGGGTGGTTTTATATTAACTAATGCTATCAGATATGAGTATAATAGAAGCTGAAAGGAAGTTAAATAAAAGCATGAATAAATAGTTATAGCGTATCTAAGTGATCTGAAACTACCTCCACTATTACTGGTGTCTTGCTTTTATATTTTTTTTGGTAGAAGGGGACATTTTTTTTAATTGCATAAAAAGGTTGGTAACAGCTTTGATTGAGTGCTTTGTTTTCTCCCTTTCCAGATCCTGTTCCCGTCGGGAGCGTTTGTCCGGGCCGACCTGAGCGCGCGGGGAATGGGTGTGACCGTGAGGACCCCGGGCAGCGACTTCAACAGCACCAGAGGTTTGTGCGGCCTCTTTGACGGGATCGGTCACAACGACCTGAGCAATGTGCCCGAGGAAGACTTCATAGAGGAGTGGAGGTACAAAGTGAGAGAGGATCCCGGGCTAGGAGATGCTCTGTGGTGCTCTTTCGAGGAGCGTTGATAGGTTTTGCTCCATGACATGCTCCTGTGGTGACCTGACAGCCAGACCTAGCGAGGGAAGCCTGGAGAGCTGCCACCATCTGAACAGCACCAGGGCTGGATTTGCAGTCAGCACAACAGACATCAGCAGTTGCTGAGAGAGAAGTTTTCTATTCTCAAGTGATGTCACACTAACAGCTGTCTTAAGATCCCACTCAGCTATTGAAAAAAATGCATTCTCACCCACACTAGAAAATGTAGATAACTGACAATAGGGTTTAATTAAGGGTTTGGTATTTCCCTTGTCCTTTTATTCCCAAACACTAATTACAATATGTGAGTATAGATTAAATGTTACATTTTGACTAAGTGTGGTAATACATGTGCCATGCTAAAATGTAATATCTACTCTAGTCATGCTGCCAGTGAGCTCTAAAAATTTGCACTTTCTGAGACAGATGGTCTGGAGCCAAAGCCAGGAGTCTGGAGCTCTAACATATCCCTAACCCTATATCTATCTCTATTCCTATCCCACATTTAAATTCCTGTTGCTGAATTCTAAACCTGGATAATAAATGTTTCCAAACCAGAAATGGGTTTGGGTGAGTGTGTAGTTTTGTTTGTGAGGTATGTTTTGCAAATAAGGGAAAGCAAACCAATTTAACAAACCATTTATTCTGTACATGAACAATAAATTTTAGGCCTACTGCATTTCAGAGAATAAACAAACACCTTTACCACATTGTTATTGTATTCAACAGGCCTAAATTATGGCTGTTTAATGACAATTTTGACCTGTACTAAATTGTACTACTTAGAAGGCAACAGCCATCTTTAAATTTAATAACGTGGTAATTTAGTCAGAGTTTGCTTCTGGAAAGGCAAATGGAGAAATTGTTTAATGTAAGAACAAACCAACTGCTGATTATCCAAAAGAAAGGGTTAACAAGATCCTTAGAACTTGTTCAAAACACATTCATTGAAAGAAGCCAAAGCCCAATACAGAGGAACTCACTTATAAAGCAGTGGGGAGTTTCCTAACACTTGTCACATGTGATGGAGATACTCCAGGGAAGGCAGGAGAAGCTCCTGCTGAGTAAGAAGGGCAAGAAGGATGATGAGTTTCACCTTGCAGTACTCTCAAGGAGGGGTTCTCAAGGACCCCTCAGAACCTGGTTAAAATAAACAACTAAGCCAATGGAAAGGCTGAGGTCATCTTTGGAGGAGACTGGATTGGTCTCTGATCCACCCACAGAGAAATGGCGCCTTGAAAAACAAAACCTGGAGGGTGATTTTTCTGCTGCTGTTTTTAATTTAATTTTAAATAACACTGAAAGCATGTTAGGTTTTCTTCAGCACCTGAAGCTAGTCTGAGTGCTCACCATCTGGCAGCTCAGCATGGCTCCCACCTCTCTCAAGCAGCTGCAGGGCTCTGAATGGCACAGATTTGTTTGTAAGCATCAGCTTTCCAATGAAACTTTCAAACAATAAAACATCAGAGCTTCACAGACCTTGAGTAGCATCCAGGCAAGGAAAAGCTGAATTTTGAAACATGTTAGGCAGGGTAATTATAGTAGGTAAAAATACATTTTTCGAGGTCCCTTCCAACCCCTAGGGTTCTATGATTCTATGAAACCATTTTTGCAATCTTTTGGTAAAACCAGCAGCAAGGCTATTAACTTTGGGCTTTCTATAACATCATACAACTCAGTTTGAAAAACTTGTCTTTAGTCCTTCTTTCGTTATAATGGGCAGCTAAAAGGAATGATAGTCTAGTGCTCTTATGCAGGGGACAGAAGGCACATCCTAGCTCACTGAGCTGCTCTTGGAATCTGCTCACCTGTGAGGAAGGACAGGGTTTCCAGAGGCTCCATCCTTTCTACCCCTGTCCTGCTAACCAGAGCTAACCAAAGTCAGGTATTTAGTGTCATGTAGAAACAGCAAAGGAATCTGTTTCAATAACGTATCAAGGCAAAAGTTTCATTGTACTGAAATTTTCATTTTGGATTTAAGTTTCTGTCTGAAATCTGGTTCAGTTTATGTGATTTTTTAAATTATTTATTAAATATGCAATATTTACCTAGAGCAGCTAGTTTATGGAGTGTTCCCACAAAGAAAGAGCTGATTCTGCTGCCTTAATTTAGGTTTACAGTTAGTTTGTGACACAAGTCTGGGCAGCATCAACTGCAGGTACCACCACCCTGCAGAACCAGAGGAACAGCACATGCAGGATGCCCACTCAAACACCAAAGGTGTATGTTTCAATGCTCCCTCAATCAGCAAAAATCAGTTTTATTGCCCTAGAGTGCAGGAAAGCACATATTAGTATATCATATATACCATTTTCAATACATACTGGAAAAATAGGATAAAGACAATTGCTCTTTTTACACAGAATCTAGTGTCTGGCTCCAAACTGGTGACAAAAGGCTTTCACTTTCATGAAATCTCTACATTATGCCTGCAAGGCAATATTAATGCCAAAATAATTTAATTTTTTTGTGATATTTAAAATTTTTCTAGGGAAAAATGGTGCCAACTATAGGGACACTCTGAAACTCCAGGATCCCTCCTGTGCTGCACAAGTAAGATCAGTAAGAGATCTTGTGCTTATGAAATTTCTAAAGAAACTTTAATCATGGCTGTGTATTCAAACTGAACTCTCTAAAAGTTCATCCATCATTAAAGCTGAACTAAATTAAAAAGTGAAAAAAAAAAAAAAAAAAATCACCTTGTGTGATAGCCTAGCCCTATGATCAACAGAAAACTGCTTTGTGTCTGAAGAAAAACTCAAAGAAATCTCTATTAGAAGACAAAAATGAAATGAAACACGTATAAAAGAAAAATTTAAAAGAAAAAACATCTAAGAGAAAAAAATGCTGTGACCTGAGTCTTAAAGGAGACACCTGGTAAGGACAGCACAGGCAAATAAAGATGATTTTCATAATAAAGCATTTGAAACAAACACATTTCTTTTTTTGTCATTCTCCAGGCTGTATCTGAGCCACATCAGGGACAAATCCAAAGCCTTGTTTTCTGTGTAATATGCAAAGGGTAACCTGCACCTTAGAGAAAGTTCTGCAAAGAAAAGTCAAGCAGTTAGGCAATGCTCCAGCAAAGCACTTAAGCATCTGTTCCTAAAATGTCCCAACGTAGTGCTAAAAAATGAACAGGACAACTCAAGAAGGGCAGTGCAAAAACTACTAAAGAAAACAGAGATTAAAGTTAAGCATTTTCTTAAGTACTTTGGTATATTGGGAATTTATAAATTCCTCAGCCTCGGAGAAAGAAAGTTTACTTGGTATTGTAGACTAATTTGTTGAAAGTTTTCTCCCTCTAATCTCTTTCTGGCTTTTTTAATTAGATTACCTCCAGGGACGAGTTTATTTGACAAGACTCCACCACCTTCCGAAGGGAAGCAAATGAAAAATTACTGCAGATGTCAGAAGGAAAGCAATAGGTCTGTGCCTATGATGAACATGCCAAATGCCTTTCAGACTCCTTTCCCTCAATCTTCTGGATGCCATTATGATCAGGTGGATTTTACCTCTGCAATCCCATATCTAGATGTTACCTCAGAGTTTGTCACTCACTCAGAAACAGAGACTAGAAGAAAAGATGGGAAACTGTCAGCCAAGGTGTTTCATCAGAGACATCTGCATAAATCAGTCCAAAAACGAGGTAGTCCTGAGGACCGATTAAAACCCCTCACAGACAATGTTTCCATGAAAAACAACAGTTCTATTAACTCTACCAAACCAAGAGAAGATTTAAAGAGGGCAAAAAGGCAAGGAGACTATTATGAATATTCATCCTTTCACCTATTGCATGGGTCAAGCCAGAGAGATTCTGAGAGCTTTGCCTATTTTTTCCCAGAGGATTACTTTGAAGGGATTCGGACAAAACTTCCACTGTCATGGCCCACTCCCAATGGTCTAACTGCCACCAAAGCTCAGGAGATCTGCCACCAAATTCTTGCAAACTCCAGTATTGGCTTAGCGTGCAAAGGTCTCCTTGGAAAGCAGATGGATGAGGCAATTGATATATGCCTTTTAGATCTGCAGCTCAAAGAAGACGTGGCTTGGGTGAAGGCACTGGTAGCCCTTTTGGAAAATGAATGTGAAAGAAGAGTGCTAGGAGAGAGAAACAGAGTGTTCCATGTGGGAAACCAGCCATTTGCTACCCAGGAGGAAATCCTCACCGTTCTCCGGTGTCCTGCTTTCTGTCACAGCAATGGACAATGTACTGAACTGGGCTGCCAGTGCTTTGAAGACCACAGCTCCTATGATTGTAGCATTGCCAAAAGTAAGTCCAAAATTCTGTTTGTTCTTACCCTACCCATCTTGCCATGGTATTAGAGTTATTAGTTAGAACATCTGCACAGAGTTGTTTGCTCTTCAAACAGTGCTACCAGTAAGATATTTGATGAATTAGTAATCGGGTTTTGACCTTGAAGAGCCGATCAAAGTATCTGGTTGGCTGGTCCTTCACTTTTTCACCTCAGTAACTTCTTAAAAATGGATTTTATAAGCCCCTTAGCAAATTGGTTTTGCAGAAGTGATTTTCTTTACATCTGATCTATCACTGGCATGCTGACAAGCAAGCTTCTGACAAAAAAAGAGGGTCCTGCTCACCTTGTGGTCAATATTCATGTTAACACTGTATAGGTATTTCTTTTTCTTCCTGATCAACAGAGAATAAGATTTGAAAGTTAATCTCAAATGCTATCCTTGTAACAAAAAAAAAATAAATTAAAAGTGACAAAAGGAACAGGTAACTTTGTCAAAGCCATAAAATAGCTACAGGACACATTCAAACCTGCAGACCTGATTCTGAAAATAGTTATGTCTTACATTTCTACAGGAGACTATCCCACTAGGTTTGTTTCTTCTTCACAGTTCAGCCCCTCAATGGATAAATCCAAGTCCAATGTGAGTACTGACAGTGCTTGGAAATAAGCACATGCAGAAATGTTAGCATTAATATCAAAATGTAAGCCCTGCCTCAGCAGACCACAAAAATGTACTTAGGGCTCAGCCACACAGTTGAGTTCCTGCAGTTTAAGAAGCATTTCAGCTAAGCTGAAGTGACAAGGTATGCTTTCTCCACCCACCCCAGATGCACTACAAAGCCTGGGCTAGTGGACATCAGTCTCTATTTAGGACAGGTAAAGCCCATAACTAGGGACAGTTGCCATGGCTTAGCAGAGACATCCAAATCACAGCCGGGAACTCAGCAGCACACCTGGTGCCCCAACGCCCAATCTAATAGCTGGGGTGGGATTACCCATGTGCTTCACAAGAAACATGGCTTTAGTGCAGTGATTTAAAGTGGTTAAAATATATCCTGAGATTGGGTTTTTTTTTAAATTAATGGCAGGCTAAAAATTGAAGTATTGTTTCCTAACTTTGGAGGGATTCATTCTTGCTCACACAGAGAACAGCTGACACCAGTGACTGAAAAGCGAGTTGAGAAATTTTGCAGTAATTGTCCAAGATACAATTCAATGTTTAACTTCATTTCTCTGTGATACAGTCAGGTTAAAGGGGTTGCTTAGGCCACAGTTTTAAATTTTGTTTTACTTTGCTATCATTGAAATCCCTTAGATTAGAAGGAAGTAACTTCAATATGACCTTTCAAGTATAAGCTAATGGCACCTTGTCTTCTAACTGTGACACCAAATATAAACAAGGACAGAGGAAGGAGCATGGCCTGAGATTGCACAGGGAGGTGAGAACTGAAAAATAAACATACATCAGCTGTGGCAAACACATCATAAGCCTCTGCTGCTCCCCTTTCTGACTGCTTTGTCTGTCTCTTGCTGACTTGGCTTCACTTCCCTCCAGCTGGGGAAGAGGTGGTAGTTGGTCTTTGCTTCAAATCATTTCTCTTTTGGGAGTCTGGTTGATTAGAGCTCACAGTGTGGCAGATTTTTCCCTTCAGTTTTCCAAAGGATCACTTATCCCTACTCACCATGGGCTCCCTCCTTGTGCTGCTGGAATCCTGCTCCACTGCCCAAGGTTTCCCATAGGGTTTCCACTGAGCCAGAGTTGCTCCATGGAGGCTGAATTTTTAGTAGGAGCATCCTTGTGTTTAGCCAGGTCCCTGGAGGAGCGAGCTTGGCACTGGACCTGTAGAAGAGCCACACTGATGCAAATAGGGAAGTACAAATTTTCCTTAGTGTTTATACTGCTCCATTTGCAGGGCAGGGTTGAGTTTGTTAGTGTCACGGCAAAATTAGCTCTGACAGCTTCAGCAGTTTTGCTAACACAAGGCAGAAGGCCCTTTTCCAAAATTGCCATGCAGTTTTCCCAACATTTCAAGGGCAATATTTGATTTTAAAACCAAACAGCCCCTGTTCTCTCTATCACACTGTATAACAACCCACGCTGCCTTGGCTGCAGCTAAGGACTTGCATCTTTTCTTATCTAATATCTGTAAGATACTTTCTGTGGGTGTAAACTTGAAGCACAAAGATTATTTTTATTTAAGAAAAAGTACAGAACACATGAATGATTACTCCTTGAGAAGAATGCTTTCTAGCCAAGCAAAGAGAGCTCAGAAGAGAAAGCACTAAATAAAAATATAGCAGAAATTGCCATTTTGAACCACCCATATTTATTTTTCTCTGGAGGAAAAGGTAGAGGCATAACTCTGCTGTGTAGGGCATGTCTTCCCAAGGGTGCACCTGACCTGGGAACATTTACCATTCATTTTTCTTTTTTGCACCATACTCATGAGATTATTTGCTGCCCTCTCTTCAACAGCTATCCACCTCCAGAGGTGTAAAACAACAGGGTATATTCCACACCAGGAGCATATACTTGGAACTTACATCTTTTACAGAAGAAAAATTGAAAAAAAAAAAAAAAAATATATCAAAATAGGCTGTTATTAAGGCTAGTGGAATTAACTTTAATCACTAAAATCTTATCTGAAAAATATAGATTTATTTTTTTCTCTTTGTAAAGCCCTGAACATGCAGCAGAGCTCACAGGGATAGACCTGTCAGCCCATGGAAACCTCTGAGCTGTTTTCTGCATGACAAGTAGAATCTTAAGGAGGAACTGCTCTTTGCCAAATAGCCAAGCAGAAAGGAACTTAACAGTTCATTGTGTATCCCAAATTCTAAAAAAAAAAAATCATTCAGAATATTTTACAATACATTTTTCATTAAAATGGGGGAAAAAAGCAGCTGCTTAAGCAAATCTAACTTAAAAAATGTCATCCACAAACTGACAAAAAAAATGCATTAACATTTTTTGAGAGTTTGTTTGTTAAACAAAGGATCTCAACATATAAATCTGGGATTTGTTTGGCTGGATTTGGTTTCTGTTGTTTTTTCCCCCAAATAAAGACACTGAAAATAAAAGGGATCCATTTCCTGACCAAATTTACCTAAGACATCACAGTATTTACAAATGGGAACAACAGTGAGTAGCAGAGCTGCAGGTACATTCTGTAACATGGGTTCCACTAATGCAAAGCACTTTGGAAAATATACCTTGGAATCTGTGAATTGCCATCACCTGACTCTTCCCAAAGCGTGTTCCCAGAGGAGTCCTCAGCTTCTCCATGTGATGGGGGCGTGGGACATGGGATGGATTTCCTCTGATGTCCACGGTCATGGTTTGAAGATCATTGTCATATCAGTCCCATCACAGAGAAGGGTTTCCTTTAGTTAGGGAAACACAACATTGAAAATTAACTTCTCAGGTCGTTCAGTGGATAATCACCTTTGGAGAAGCATCTGAAATGATATTATGTTTTCACAGGAGGGTCAGTAATTTAATCTGGATTATTTGGTTTTAATTCGTGATACCAGAGATAGAAGCATACTTGATAAAGAAGAAATTAAGAACAGGACGTGTCTTCTAGTACTTGTTCCTCCTCTTCTCCCAGATATCCTGGCACCAACTAACCCCAGCCTGGTTACACACCAGTACGTGCTGGGAGGGCAACAGCTCAGGCAGCCACATCAGACCCCAGCATGAGCAGGACCTGCCTGCTGGCTCAGCCCATCCCTTGTACTACTGGGACGGAGATAATGGGATGGAAAAGCAATTGAAGCTCAAGCTGAGCAAAACTGGGGAAAAAAAAATCCAGAGAAATTCAAATAAACCCAAGGTTAACAGCTGGTGCATTTAATTTGCAGAACTTTGTCTTCAGAGTAACTGTAGAGAAACTAAGAGATGACTTTGTAAAATAAGTTTAACTCAGCATTCTGTGGAGAGAGAATATTCCTGACACCATCTATAGCAAATAAATGTGATGAACTGCACCGAGTCCCATGTGTTACAGACTATTTATGATTTAATTTGTGAGTGATCTAGAATATTTCTTCTCTATATACAAAAGTACAGAAATACCGTATTTGCAAAAGCACCTTATTTTGTAAATGCAAGGTAAAGCAGATCCATACATCCAGCTAGAGGTCAGATCCCTCACAAGAGGAAATAAAATCTTAGGTCTGCACACAGATCATTCTAACATTATAATACTTAGAAAAGGTCAGCTAGTTAATTTGGTAGAGACAAGCAAGGTAAGTATTAGTGTGAGCTTTACCTTCAGGTGCTCTTGATTTCTGAGTTTTATTCACGACATTTTTTCAACCTATTTGCTTTTTTTAACATTTCATGGGCAGAAATGTTCTACACAGACAGGATGTGATGTAACACCTGCATGCAGGGAAAGGTCCCTACAGTATCACACAATAGTGATGTGCTGCTTAAATGGCAGTTCAAAAAACGGGAAGTCCTCAGAACTGAAGTCCTGTTGACATCACTAAAGCCAGGATTTAACACCAGAAAAGGCTATTAGAGATGAAGAATTACGATCAATCACAGAAATAAAGCTGTGTGTTGCAACAGGAGCAGCTTGAACCCCCTCACTGGCAGCTCAGGCATCCTGACCTGGCTGGCAGCAGCAGGCAATCAGCACCGAGCAAGCACAGGTGGGATAAGCCTTTGGGCTTTTGTGCTAATAAGTAGAGGTTCTGCAGGAATGGAACAAAAGGAGGAGAAATTAAGAAGTGAATTAGATTTCTGCAGAATACACAAAACTGCTGCCTCTTTCATTTTCTGTGAAAAAGACAGGACTGGAGAAACAGGAGAATGCTCCATTGTTAGGAAAAAGTTATTCTCCAGGAGAAGTTACACAAGTAATGAAGGAGAAGGCAACTCCTTTTGCTAGTCATATATTTTCCCATTAGCTCCAAAACAAATCACTGTCTAATTTTCTCAGGCTAGAATTACAGACATGAATTAAAACTCCCCCAAGATCAAGGAGGCCATCAACATAACTCA